GGAGCTGTATTACAAGCGATTAGACTCCATTTTGTGACAGATTTTTGGACTCTCCCACCGACCCTCCCCCCTTCCGGAGCCTCCTCCAGGAATTCGCCACCTCCTCAGGATAGAAAGCCTTTCCAGACAGCGACAGACGGCAAGAAAGGAGAGTTACATAATTCTATCTGGTCAAGGAAAAAAACGTTGGGGGGGGGGATGTTGTCATTTTTGTCTTTTCCTAACCTTCTCCGGTGGAGGACGCGGAGAGGTGTTGGCGATCATGCGGAGGCCGGGTTCCTCCCGGTTCTAACCGGGTTTTTTTTGTTGTTGTTGTTCAAAAAAGGCTGAAGCTGTTTTTTGTTTGTTTTGTTTTATTATTAGAAGGAGCCCCCAAAAAACACTCAGGGAGAAAAAGGAGACTTTTCGAGTTACGAGTGAAAATGCCCAAACTGCGCAGCCGCAATGTGCTTTGCTCAACTAGGCCGGATGAGAGGATTTTATCAAATGCTACTAAATGTGCCCAAACGTCCATTAATCACCCCCGTGGTGCGTAAAATAACTTTGCGCGTCTGGGTGCCCGGGATCTTTGAGAACAAATCGAAAGGAGGAACACACACTTAACTAGAAATGGCAACCTCTTTCTTTCTAAGGACGAAAGAACTCTGCAGCAACTCGCACCCAGGCGAGGACGAGGACGCAGTTTTTCAAAAGTTGGGGCGGCCTGGGGGAGTGTTAATTTCCCCCTACCTCTGACGCAATGGCTCAACAAAATGAAGAAGGCACGTTTCTGAGCCCACTTGCCTGGATTCCCGTCTGAAAAGCATTTGCACACAGATGAAATAAATATGCATCTGCGATTCTCAAAGAAAAAAAAAAAGAAATCGAGAATAAAAATATTTTTATTGTGTATAGAGCACTGCTTTCTTGTGAGCTCTCTCCTGCTTGGCTGCGCTTGCTCTCCCTGGTAAATGCTGTCTCCAGACTCGCTGGGGGATTTGCGCCCAAGATTGTCTTGATAACCCCCACGCAGCCACCCCGCCCCAGCACAGCCTCGGCCTGCCAGGCCTAGTGCAGATCCCTAATTGGCATTATCGGAAGAAAGAGGAAGACGTAGGAGGGGACTACCAGCAAAGAGAATAATGCCAACCCCTCCCTCCCCCTCCCCAGGCTTCAGCCTCACAGGACCCAGACTCAGGGCACTGGGACCTGAGATTCCCTCTTGGACAAAATTCATTCCCAACACATGGGACTGCACTGAAGAAGCAGGCTTTTAGGGGACTTTTTTCTTTTCTTTTAAAAATAAATATACATTGGACAAAGCAGTTGCAAATGTTTTATGTTTAATTGTTTTGTAAAATGAGGGGGTTAGTCGGCTCCACTTTAAGGGAATATTCAGCTCAAATGTGACTCCGGTTCTATGCCCACTGAACCAGGGAGCATGCTTGCTTTCTTTTGAAGAGAAGCCCTATCATAATTATGGGAATAAATACATACAAGAGGTTGGAAAGAGTCTTTCCAATATGTTAAAAAAATTTTAAACCATGCAAATGTTTCAGAGGCCCATTTTTACCTTCCCCAGCCTCCTGGCCCCACATGTGGAGTTGCTGAAGCCAGTGGCTGAACTGGGTGCAAGTGGCATTGCCAGAGCCAAGTTCAGGGCTAGGTAAGCAGAGCAAGGCCAGGGGGACAGGGTGTGGGTGTGTTGGAGGCTGGGGCACCCTGTGGAGGTGCTCCCTGGGCCAGCCCAGAGCCCCCAACCACATGTACGTCATTTTATTTGTGCTGCTGTATGCCTGACTTCGGGTGAAATTAGTGGTGGCCCTTCCCTCTCCCAGAACTAGAATCATATCAGTCCAGGGCACCATACAGCAAAGACCTGACCAATGGCCCTGGGCTTAAGTCTGAGTTGCTCCATACAAAGGAAGAGGCCTCAGTTGCATTTCTGTAGAACCTGCAAAAGAGCTGATTCTCTCTACCAACCCCAATTCCTACCCACAGAGCCCTCAGTGAACAGGAGCAAGGAGCCAAAAGCAGCTCCTGCCCATTCCCCAGAGCAGGGGACCCAGTCAGTGCCTTTATGGTAGGACCTTTCCCTCTATAGGACTCTGGTGTGCAGTCCCACTATTTCCAGGCCTCAGTCAGGCAGTTAGGATGCTCCCCTCCCCACCAGGCTCTGGATTTTGGGACAATCCTTGGGCAGAGTAGGAAGTCTACACTCAGCACTAGGTACAGGCAGCCCAGCCTCTCCAAGAGGCTTGGGCACTCACAGCCCTGTCTGAGCACCAAAGCACCTGAGCAACCTACCCACCCTGCAGCTCATGCAAGACGGCTTTCTGGGCACCCACTAAAAGTTCTCCCAGGAACCCACATCTCTCTGCAATACCATTCTGGGGGCCCCCAAAGCTCTCGTGACTCTTGCTCCTCACTTTCCCCTTTTCAATTGTACTGCCAGGCACAAAACCCAGCAGGTCAAAAGAAAAGGCCTGTCTATATTCTCTGTCCCTGGCCTCTTGCCATATAAATCCAGTCACAGGTAAACACAAAGTCAGTAAATGGGGCTCAAGCCACTCTGGCCTAAATCTGAGGCTTGGACAATACCAGGACAGAGCGGCCACCACTTTCCAACACACACTGTAAGAAAAATGGCCATCAGGGAACTGCTCACCCAGTTCCTCACCCTAACTGGACTGCAGCTTGCCACCTCTTGAGATCTTCCTAGACTACTTCTCTAGCCAAAGGATGGGGAGAAGCAAAACTCCCGCATGGAACGGTTTGCAGAAGATGGACACCATTTCTCTCCATCAGGGACAAAAAGTACAACGGGAGCCTAGCAGGACCAGTATGGGGACTGCTAAGGCAGCTCAGTGGCCAGTACACCACATTCCTGCTCCAGAAATCCCAAATCCCCACACACCGGCTGGGTTAGCACACCAACAGGCTTGGCTCCGAAAGCACTGCCTTCCTTTGAAATGCAATTCCTGGTCCCCAATTCAGGCTTCAGGGGGGCCAGGCCCCTTCCCTGGACTCCGGCATCGTATGCGCCAGTCCGACTAGGGCCTTGTCTTGTACCCCACCTCAGCGGCTCAGCACAGGTTTCCGGGACAAACTGATGACATCTAAGGGCCACCGCACCAGTTCGGGCCGGTGGGGATGGTCCACCACAGCCCCCAGACACGCAGCCTGCAGAGCCCTCGGAGCCCTCGCAGCTACTGGGCCCAGCGGAGCGCACAGCCGGGAGGGCGGACGCCGGCCCTGCCCGGCAGGGGGCCGGCCGGGCTCGAGTGCCGGGCGGCGGCGGGGAAGGAGGAGGACGAGAGGCGCTTACTGTTGGTAGTCTTGTTTGCAGTACAGTTTCCGATCCCGGAAGTAGCAGCTGGTGGTGAGGGCTTGCTGACACGCCGCGCACTGCAAACACTCCTCGTGCCAGGACGACTCGTTGACTCGCATCAGGAAGCGGTCGGAGATGGGCCGCTGGCAGCCCTCGCAGACGGCGGGATGCGGGCAGTCGGAGCCTGCAGCGCACAGGGCGAGAGCCGGGCCGTCAGCGCAGCCCGGCCCAACCCCGGCGTCCCGGTCGCGCGGTGCCCACAGCCCTCCGCTTCGAGGGCGAAGGCGACCCGGGAGCGCCGCTCGCTGCCTGCGGTCTCCCAGCCGCCGCGCCAGGGTTCTGGCAGCCCCAGCCTGTGAGTCCCAGTCCTTGGGCTCCGGCGCAAAGAGGCCGTGGGCCTCGAGCCTTGGCTCGGCGCTGCGCTCTCCTCTTTTCCGGAGATTCAGCGCTTGGTGTTAATATAAGCGAGAAGGAGCACGATGCAGGGTGCCCAGCTGCGACTGAGACAGGCGAGGTGAGGTTGGGGTGCACGCAGGCTGACACGCCCCACGGTGGCTTCGTGATCTTCTCTCCCCAATCTACCCCAAACCTGTGGTTTAGATGACCCACGGGACATTTTTCTCCTAGAAGCTTCCCCTCCTCGGGCGACCTGACACCTCTCCCAGGCTCGCCAAGGTGACTACTTGGGTCCTCCATCACCCGTGTCACCAGCTGCCTACCGTTGCCGGGAGTAGTAGCTCTAGAACCTAGGCCCAAGGAGGATGGTGGGTGGAGGCTGGAACTGCCCTGTCCTGTCTCCTGAGTGATGTCCCTGCACACTCTGTCCCTCGGGAAGCCTGTCTAGGCGTGCTTGTTGGCCCTCTGGTATCACTCCGGGAGTCCTGTCCCTGTACCTCCTCCCTATGTCTGTGCACCCATTTTCTTCATCTGTTGGCCAGGACGCCTGTGTGCACCGCGGACGACGCCCCGGTCCCCTGCCCATAACCACTCAGGCGCTATGACCCCGCACTCACCCAGCAGCACCCCCAGAGTGGCGGGCCCGGGGCGCAGGGCGTGCTCCTCCATTTTGATGCCGTCCAACATCTTGGCGCAGTCCGTCTGCCCGCGAGGAAAACACCTCTCCAGCGACTCGGGACCTGTTGCTATATCCATGGGACGCCGGGCGCGCTGCGGACCCCGCCGGCCGGACTGCTCGCCCGCCCGCCCGCCGGTCCGCCGCTCGCCGCAGCCCTGGAGCCGGGGAGGCGCGGCCCCCGCGGGGCTGGGGCTGCGGCTGGGGCCGCCCGCTGCCCCAGGCGAGCGTGGAGCGGCGGCGCGTTGGCCCCGGGCCCCGGCGTCGTGCGGGCGGGCCGGGGCGGCTGCAGCCCGCGCCGCGCTCTCCCGGGCACTCTCAGCCACGCGCGCCGGCTCCTCTGTCACCTGCTTGTCAGCCCCGGAGCCCGGCTGCGGCGGCGGCGGCGGCGGCAGACGGAGCCGCGGGGAGGAGGCGGCGGCCGCCGCGGCCGCCGCGGCGGGCGGGGGAGGGGGCGGGGGTGCAGGGGCTGCCCCGCGGGCTGGGGGGGCGCGGGCGGCGCAGCGGGGTCCCGGGCGGGGCGCAGCGGGCCGCGGGGCTCCGGGCGCGCTCCCCGCACTACTCCAGTGCCATGGTGCGCCCGAGGAGCGGCTCGGTTTAGAGCTGGGGCTGGCGGCGGAGGGATACTCCGGCCGGGAGCCGCCTCACCCCTCCTCAAACTTCCTGACATTTGAACTCATTGGTGCGCCTCGTATCCCTGCGCCGGGATGAGCCGGCGGCTCCACGTCAAATAGTGCCGTCGCCGCCCCCCCGCGGGAGGGCTCCCCGCGCCCCCAGCCAGTGTCCCGCGCTGCGCCTGGCCCCGAGCTCCGGCCCCGGCTTCCCTGCCCGTCCGGTCGCCCTGATGGTCCCTCGAAGAAAATTGGGTCGCCTTTGAAACAATCCTCTGCCCCACCTCCTTGGAAAATTGATTTGGGAGTTGGGAAATGGAGGCTTTCTTTTTTTCTTCCTTTCCTTCTTTATTATTAATATTTTGTAAAGCTTCAGTGCTAAGAGGAGTGGCCCCGAGCAAGGCCAGACTGCGCGGACGGCGGGGAGCGCAGCGGCTCCTCCCGGGTACGGCGCCAGCCGGCAGCGGCCGCCCGGGGACTCCGACAGTCGGCAGAGGTAGGTCGCAGGGGCTAAGTTGGCGTCTCCCGGGCGGCGGCGGGTGCCCACACACCTCGGTTCGCTGAGAGGGCTGGCTGCCGGGATTGAGGGACCGAAGCGAGCAGAAGAAGACTGCTGGCTTCGGCCTCGCCTAAGGGAGGCCCGGCCCAGGGAGGGAGAGTGGGACCGGGTTTCGGGTGGGGAGTCGGGAAAGCTTCATGCTGGCAGAGATCGGATGGAGGAGCGAGCTGAAGGAGGAATTGGGGCCCCGAGATCGAGAATGCGGGACATTGGGTAGGCGAGGAAGGTCAGGCCCGGGTTCAGGCGAAGAGTTTAGATGATGATTGAGGCTGGGAAAGGGGACCCTGGGCTGGAGCTGGGCCTCGCAGGGTTTGGCGTGTAAGACGCGGGTAGGGAGTGGTGGCCCCAAGGTCTAGAGGTAAAGGCACGGGATGACTTGTGCTCGGTCACCCCAAGGAAATCAGGTTGGACACTGGGAGAAGCACCCTTTGGCGACGGCCGAGGATCCCAGTTAGGAGTCGGTAGGCTGGGCAGGTCAGGAACGGTGTCCTGGCCATCACCGGCAAAGTGGGCCTAGACATCTCCTAGCGAAAGCCCGGCTAGACCTAGCTGACGACTCCCGCGCCCGTCGGGCCTGGCACCGGCTCTGGACTCAGGAGGCCAATGCGTCGGGCCACAGGGCGTCATGCTCGGGCTGTGGCCCCTGGGTCCTCCCCAACGCACTGCTAGTCCAGGGACAGTAGGGCTGGTGCAGCCCTGAGGCAGGCGCGGGCTGCTGGGTGAGCCGCTGCAGGGCTGCCAGAGCCCCTCCCGGAGAGGAGCAGCGGCGCGGAGCGGGGCGGGGGCGGAGGGCAGGGGGGGCGGGTCCCCTGACCCCGCTGGAGGCGAGAGGGCGGATCGGATTTGGAACCTGCGGGAGGCTTGGTCAGAAGTGGCCCCTTGTGCCGCGGGGCCCCGCGGAGGGGCCCGGCTTTGTCAAGGATTAGGAGCTCCCACCCCAGTACCTGCGTATGTGTTGGTGGGTATCTGTGTGTGTTTGTGAGTCTGCACTCTCCCCTGAGGTTCTTGCGTACTTGTGCACCCGTTTCTCTGAGCACATATTTTTGTGTCCTTGTCACTTTTCGGTATCTAAAAGTGTGAATCCGACTCTGATTACCCTAGATCCTTGTGTGTGTGTGGGGGGGATCTATAGATCCTTTCATGCTTCTGAGTCTTAGGTGCTTTGGTACATCTTTGTTGGTGTCCCTGTGTGTCTGTGTCACTCTATGTGGGTGCCTACATCTTGTGTGTGTCTCAGCCCCTGTATTGTATTTGGAAGGTTTTTCTGCTTATGTGTATCTTCATGTCACATGTGCGCGCCTAACTCCGAGTTCCTGAATGATTCTGTCTCCCAGAGGGGGGTGTTTGTGTGTATGCGTGTGTGTGTGTGTGTGTGTCTTTGTGTCTCTCTATATGTTTCGGCATCTTTGTGTGTCTGTATTCTGGAGGATGCAGGAGTAGATGTTCAGTGTACAACCTGGCCCCCTCTGCACGTCTCCTCCCGCACACGCCCTTGGTCCCTTGTCTTTGCTTAATCTTTGAAACCCCAGGTCATGAGCCCCGAGGTTGGCCTGAGCCTGGGCGGTCTTCTTCGGATATCTGAGCCTGGGCGCTCCACTGCCGGGAGAAGCCTGGCAAACTAGACTCCAGCACACAGAGCCTGGAGGCGCGGATCCCCGCGCGGGGCGGGCGGGTGGACCGGGCGCATTCTGCCCTCTGCTGGCCATGATTTGTCCCTGCAATGCTGCTGGGCGACCGCCTGTTGGCCTTGTTCCAGGACCAGACCCAGACCCTGGCCCTCTCCAGGGCGCACTGAGAGTCCTCTCCTGTTATAGGCCCTGGCCCTTCAACTCCGGGCGCAATGTTCCACCCCCCTCCTGTTTCCCGTTCTCTATCACACCGTCCCCGTTCCCTGCCCTTCCCCTCTACACCTCTCCTGTGCACCCACTCTGCCCCCCACTGCTGAATGGAGGCTTTTCAGGCTTCCTTGTCCCTCTGGCTGGCGATTGTGTTCAGGGGCTCCTTCGCACAGCGCCTGAAAGCAGGGTTTCACTGAAGTACCCCTGATAGTCTCTGCCGCAGCCGGTGCTCCCGGGCGCATAGATTCTTGGCTTTTCTCTCAGCGTCCCTGTTGTAATCACAGCCCATGCCACCAGCCACCACCTGGGACAGGCTGCCAGCGCCTGCAACTGGGTGAAGCCAGGCTGCCTTCTCTGGTCCTTCTCTGTTCAGTGTACAACCTGGCCCCCTCTGCACCCCCATGCACTTCCTGTAGGCCCTGTTCCTTGCCCCTTGTCCGTCTCTCTGTGTTCCCCATCACCCCAGTTGAGATGGCCCTCGGGGTCCTGTGCTTACTGCCCCCTGAGGCCCCAGGTCTCTCTCTCTCCCAAGCACCACCAGAGCTCCTGTGCCTCCGGATCACTGCCCCTGCCCAAGAACAAGGCTGCCGCATAGGGGCCTAGGCCCAGAACCAGCTCCTGCTGTTGGGAGCCAAGCCACACCTGGCTCCGCCTGACCAGCCCTGAGCTCTTGCGTACTGGCGGATCCCACCCGTTGCCCTGTGACCCACCGCACCAGTGGCCCCTCGCACCCCCTGGTGCTGTCGGACCAGACCCGGATGCTCTCTGGCTTGGACTTCAGTGGCAGAACCAGCAGGGGATTGTCTCCAAAACTGAATCGGCGACTTGAAATTGCTCTTGAGAAACAAGAAGGCTGGGAAGGAGACTGGTCTCTTCCTAGTCTGCAAGACACCTCATCTCCACCGAGCCCTGCCCCGTTCCCCTGGCTCCTCTTCTTAATTCCTCACACACTTCCTCGCAACCCGCTTACTGCGAGCTAGGAGCCAGCACAGCTGGTAGGACTTTCCCCAGGGAGCCTGACCCAGGTTGCCATGATTTCGTGGCGGTTTCCTGATTCCGACCAGAGTGGAGCCAGAGGACCCTCCCGTGTAGAGCCCCAGCACCTCGGCTGGAGGCATGCGGATGGGCGGGGATGGAGCAGGAGCTTCTAGTTTCTGCCCTCAGGGGACAGCCAGGGCCACTGGATTGTCCTGGCTGCGGGGGACCTTTGGTTGTCTGGGAGAGCCGCAGCTGGGCCTGGGCCAGGTTAGGAGCTGCTAGTCCCGGGATCTGACCCACGAGGGAGGGTGCTGGAAGTGCATTGAGGACACCTCTGCTGCTGGGAATCTCTGAGCTAGCTGCAGAGGAGCTCCCCTGTAGGTCCCAGCTGAGCATGGCCGGGCCATGGGGGTCAGAGGGTCTGGCAGCATAGAGTAACATTGTCCTGGCTTCCCCACAGCCCCATGAAGTGTCCGTGGTCTTCCTGTCTTCCCTGTGAGGGCGGTAGAGCCCCAGAGACCCTGAGCCCAGGCGGAGGGCCATAGGACCCAGTGACTGGGAAGCCTCTGAGACAGTCCTGGGGTCTTTCGCCCCAGGACTGCGGCTGGGTCTCACCTTCCCTGCTGGAAGCTCCTCACCCCCAGGGTGTGGGGCAAGGGTAGCAGGGAGACAGGAACTCACTGGTGAGGCAGTGTGGCCCTGAATGCCGAGTGTGGGCCGAGTGTGGGCCGTGTCCAGCGTGGGAGATGAACACACCACAGCCAAGTCCCTCTGCCCTCCTGGCAGGGCACCCTCACCCTCCAGTCACAGACCCAGGACTTTTCAACACAAGGTCAGACTCATTAGTCCTGGGATTCTTCCCGGTGTCAGGAGATCAATCTCCCTGGTCCCCGCCTTCAGAGAATGACTGCCCTGGCTGGGTGGCCCAGGGCTGAGGCCTCCCTCTGACCCGGCAGTGGTTAGGTGTGTTCAAGAATGGGTCTCAGGGAGTCCGTGAGCTCTGGTTCAGGATGTGGATGTGGAATCTCAGAAAAGGTTTACAGTTCTGTGCCTCAGGGCTCTCCTCTGTAAAATGGGCATAATGATAACATCTCTCCCATAGAGTAGCTGAGAGGATGAAGTATAAGGACTTGCCCAGGGCCCAGCCATAGTGGGGCTCCATGAATATTTGGTGAATAATTGGATGGGGATCCTTGCTTAAAAGGGGGGGCACTTAAGAAAACCACAACTGCCTCCACCTCCTACAGCTAGGGCCTTAGGACAGACCTGACCTAAGCTCAACCATGTTCCTTCCTTCAGGGCAGGTGAAGCCCAGCTGCAGGCTGAGCACAGGACATCCCCCAACCAGCAGCAGCAGCAGCAGCAGTGCCCAGGCCCCCAGCACAAGCATCTCAGCCTCCTCCCCTCGTCCCACCCTGGAAAGATTCTCTGGGAAAGATTAGAATTAGGGGCTTCAGCCCATTGCATTGAGAGCACAGTGTGGGACTCTCCAAGTGTCACTTATAGTTATTTTTAGCAGGCTCTTTCCTCAAGAATCTATGGATTTCTTGCCAGATGGATGGGCTGGGTTATTTCAGCAACCCACTAGAACCAGGGGCTTCCCCAACAGAGGACCTGAGCCAGAACAAAGAGAAGCCAAGGACCGTATTTGAGCCATAAAAGCCCCATTAGGACGCTAAGAATAACTCACAGAAAGACATTTTATATAAATTGGACACGAATTCACAAAAACCAGAGCGTTCATTTGTCTCCACCCCAAGGGGTCCATAGCTGGGGCAGGGGGGCTGGGCGTGAGGGGGGCCAGTGCCTATCCTATTTGATCTTTATCTTAAATCCACTTCAAAAAGCTGCGGAGAGGCGGAGTTGGAGGTTCACCCCTTCCTGTAATTATTTGGTGTCTAGTAAAGTTTTTATGAGTGTCTGTGCAAATAAATGGATCTGATGTGCATTTGTTTTGGCGAGCGCCGCTTGACGTAGGAGGTGCATGCAGCTTCAGAAAAGAGAGGCTAACGGTGAAAACAGAAATAAAACCCAGCCCTCCAGGTCAGGCAGAGGAGTGGAGCTGTGCAGTCCCACTGAGGGCCACCATCCCTCGGACCCAGGGGCTCAAGGGTCCCCAGG